GAAACTCTGAACATCTCCAATTTTCTCGACATCAGGTTTCAGCATCAGTGTGCGTGATCTAATTGCTGTCTACATATGGTTCCTTTTGAATTATGCCCTTATAAATAGTAGCTATGCTTGTCTGGATTCAAATTAAATCAAGTCCCGATTGGTTTAGATCAAATTCACAATTTGCAAACTAATTTCCAATTAACACAGTTTTGTTTCCTTTGGAAACAAAAATTATTCAGATCAAAATATGTGATATGCTTGATACCACAAATGGTGACCAATAATGCAAGCATAATTGTATGGCAGCCTTCTTGAGTATTTGTCAACTATCATCCGGAAGGGAAAAAAGAAGGAAATTACAGCACATTCGCCGTTAGTTAAGATTCTTGGCCATATCTGATAACGTTTCGAGCTACCTCTCGGACTCCAAGCAGGGGGTCGTGACGCACCAACCGACGCTAACCTAGCACAAATATCCTTCATCCCACGAAGCCACGTCATGGGCTGACTACCTCTCTGTCTTTTCCATCCCGTTCAGGGTAGCGAACAGAGACCTGTACGGAAGCCTCTGGGATGACATTCACAGCACATGTCCAAGCCACCAAAGCCGGTGTTTATAGGTAACGACAATTAACGAGTGGTGATCTCCAGTGTGTCCAAACACACACCGCCCAACAGCAGAATTACTCACGCGATGATGTCATCGAACGCAAGCAATCCATCGGAGACAGCGATGATCGAATTCGCAGAACCGCCTCATCTCGGAGAGGCCAGGTTTCACAGGCGTATAGCAAGACAGCCCGTACCGAAGCATTGTATACCCGACCTTCGAATTCCAGGCTAACGTCGCGACAGAACCAGAGGTGGCTCAAGTTAACGTATGCCACACTAGCCTTCATGATACGGCTGGAAATCTCCTCCGTCGTCCATTCGCCAGCACTCACACAATTACCCAGATGCACAAACTTATCAACAACTTCAAGCGGTTTACCTGCAAGAGTGAGTGCAGGTGCAGGCTCCTACCAATCTCGTAACAGTACTTTACACTTAGACGGTGCCGCATTCCGATCAATCATATCTTTTTCTTATGAGTTCGTGTTTTATATATAGCTGAAGCCATAAGGATCCACCTGAAGAAGTATAACTTATGTGTTCAGAAGTTTATTCACGCGTGGGCATCACTGTTTGATTGCATAAATCCGACAACTTCCCCTTCCCATTAAGCTGTTTACGAGTTGTCATTGTTCTGACCACCTTTAATTGTCACATTAATTTTCTTTTTAATTTTATCTGATATTCAGTTTTCATACATATTATCACTTAGTGATCCTCCATTGAACTAGATTTTGTTAAACGAAATGAGTATCTACAACCTATCACCTGTATTTGTAATGTGGTTCTATTTGGAAGATCGAAAAGGTCAAAAGCAAAGTGAAAATGATAGTGAAACTAATGACAATAATAATAACATAAACAAAAAAGAATATGAGGTATCTTTAGTTTTGCCATATAAGGAGGGGACATCTGAGACCCTACGTAGGATTCTGAATAAAGCAGGAATTAGAGTGGTATTTAGATCTACGAACTCATTCAGGGACAAGCTGTGTAGACTAAAGGACCCAATGGACCATTTAGACAAAATAATATAATTTACAAAATACGTTGCAATGACTGTGGGGTCAACTACATAGGTCAAACCAGTAGGTCGACGGTAGTCAGATTGTCTGAATTTAGCTAAGCGCAGAATGATTGACCCCGCGAAGATAAGTAATTTAAAAAAAAAACTCAACGATCGTACTGCGTACATTGAGACACAATAGGGTGGGACAGAGTTAAAATTCTAAAAAGTAATGTAGGCAGGTGGAAAAAGAAATTGCTTACTGAATCCTGGTTCGATGTGACTAAACGCAAATACCAGAGGTATGGAAGATATTATTACCAACCAAATCAAAAGATAAAAAATAATGTTAAGTTTTGTCTTATTTCAATTCACGTTACAACACTAACATATTATTTATTTTGTTTTACTAACAAAACATGTTAACACCCATTCTATTGATTAAAAACACTCGTCTTCTTTCCCATCGTATTATATTTTATTGATAACATCAATATTAATTGTAAATGCACTCTATCTGCCTTCATGTTTCACACATGTCTATTGAACTCCATATTGATTTATTTATTTATTCATAAGTCTAATCAATTTTTTACACATGTATATGAAAGAAGTCTGAAAGTTGTGTGAGTACCTTGATATGATTATGAGCAATAAAATGTGCTCGAAACATCATCAGTAAATATTAGTGTATAACACTGTGAGGCTTTACCAGAATAAAATTTTCTCCATAATTGAACTAAACTCTACCACATTGCCCAAGTTCTATTCTTATATTTGTTATGTAGTGTTTAGTTCTTTCTGTCTAAAATTCCTCGATTTCTGGGACTATTAATATCACCATTCAAGTTCTCAATGGTTCTGTCTTTGTTATTGTGCTATGAACATTTGATTCAATGTTGAAAAGTGCTTTTCAAGCAAGCTCCTAATAATTTCATCCAAACAGAACCATCTAAGAAACTCTATAATTGATGGTCACTCACTTTGACCATTCTCAGCATAACTTATTAGCGACCGTGCTCATTATTTTATTTCCATATAGTCATATTGGCCAGAAAGCAATGTAGGTTGAGAATGAAGCATAGAAGTATGCTGCTTCCAACAACCTCCACCAGGCACATCATCTTACAATGATATATTACCTGACACCACATAAAGTATTATTTGGAATGATGTGATTTTGTACATTTGTTTTGCACGAAAAGAGATAAGTGGTAAGCTAGCACACCAATGTTTACCATTATTTCAAAAATTCACACTAAAATATCTTAGTGAACATCTTTAGAAGGATAAGTAGATCACATAATTTATAGTAAATTTCAAAAGTTCAATAGGTTTTTAGTGATATTCAACCTGGCCTACGCACTCCTCACTTAGCCGAGAATAAACCCGGTAGCGAGCGTAGATTGGACGTGAGGCTAACAAAACCACTCCATGAAAAAAATACACCACCGATATCGGAACTTCGAAGCTCAAGCCTGAAGTCCTATGAACCACTTGGAACACACAGTAAAAGCTTAAAACCTTGTATTAAAAGGTAGCTAACTGATTTAACAACCCAAGACTTTACACAGAACTGTTTCATATACAGTCGCTCCACTTCAGAAAAAGTAGACAAGAGACGTAATGAAACTGTAACGGCAGACATTGAGTTTGTCTCATTATAAACTACTTCGATCACGTCATAAAAAATTCCCAACCATAGGTTTTCGAGGTCCCCTGTCAGACAGTCTACAGTTTTTTATGTGATCCAGTCTAACACTTAATAACTTCACGAACTGACACCATGCTTTAGTCTTTTTCAACTTAATTGACGTACAAGTTAATCCATAGACATTATGTTCAACCAGAGTCGCATCTACGAGGACAGTCATTAGGAAGGACGACAGGAGGCATCCGCGAGAAACATCGATAGTTGTTATCACTTCGATCAATATCATAGCAGTTATAATGGTCTTCGTCATTGTCACAGGGAGATTAGTTTCCTTTCCTAAATACCGAAATGATCAAGTATCTTTGGTCCTGTCACGAACTTATATACACTAAATAACAACTTATTACTGTAGTCTTTAGACACCACCAAAATCAAACCATCAGGTCCTACTGCTTTAACCTATATTAAGTGAGACAGAGCTTTTGCAGTTACTGCTACAGTTGGAGAACTTGGGGTTGAACAGTGGGCAGCTGTGATACACCTGTAAACCAGACGAACTACTCCACGAGGTGTTATGTACGATGTTCTACATATCTCTCCCATGAGGCTATCAAAGTTCCGTCCTCCTCGGTGAGCATTTCACATCCCATAGTCTTTGTAAAGACCTATTCCCCTAATAAGTTTGAATTGTTGATGAGAACCGTGCTGAAGCCTTTTCTATTTATTTCACTTTAGTCCCTAACCACCATTCACAATTGTTAAGGTTTTTAGTCAGCCTATATCTAAACAGCTTCCCCCAATTCACACCAGCAATACAACGGAAACTAACTAAACAATGTCCTGACACCTGCGAGTTGAGCTTTTTGGTTCAGAAGGGAGTAAATAATTAACAAGACTTGCTTCAGGCGATACATATATTTGAAGCCCGAAATGCTAGAATTTCAGCTGGTGGGGCCTGATGTTCAGATTGACAAAAGCTTCGTCCCCTGAAAGTCCTGATATAAGGCTGACATTGCGGTTTAGAAAGGACATGTACGATGTTTCTCCAGCCTGGTTTCCTAGCAATAATTATAGATAAGATTAGCTAAATAAACCATCTCGGAGACTATTAGGAACTGGGAGAAAGCAAGATGAATGGAGTAGACGATAAGTGAAAATTTGTGAGCATGGAGGAGTGTGAGAGGGGAATAATTGATTTTGCATGACTGTCAACCCCACAGGAAAATTGTTCGGTGACGTGTCTTGGGGTGGAGTCTATAGTTTTGTTCCCCAGGAGAAGCATTGCAGCGGGCCATGGACCACTGTAGTGTAAGTTTTGCAGTTCGCCTTTTACCAACCTCCGAAAAACGGTGACACAGATGAACTACTGGTCACTAGGAGAAAACGCCACACTACTGCTACATCCCTGATTGTCAGAAGTACTACCTTGGCCTCAGATATTTACCATATTGTACACAACTTACATTGACGGTAACCGTTTTAACCTAACCACAAAGCCACCAACATTTCCGGCAATATCTTTTACTGAGTGAACACGCTTTTTTCTCCTTACCAAAAGTCTTCACTGGATGCAAATAGCTTACTATCATCAATAATTAAAAACGTAATTTATGTCAGTTTGCGATCCTTTTAGTCTTATTTGCAAGCATGCTTAGAGAAATCGTTCTCTACAGTACAGAAGATTAACTTGCCAAAAGAATGAACGCTTCAAATTTTTTAAACTACCATAATAGATGATAAAATTCAAACTCTGCATCGAAGTAGTTATACGAATAAATATTTAAGAAAAGTAATATGCTCCATTTTTAAACTATTATTTACATAACAATTAGGTGCATAAACCATAGAATCCATAAAACCTATGGTGTACAGTAGAAAGACTTGGTGAAATCCAAATTTCAAGAACCCCAACGTGATGAAGATTCGAATACTCTACTAAGACCATGAAAACAATTATTCTTCGGTGTTATATTTTGCAGGAGGCAATAAGCTTGAAAAATCCTAAGAACTACAACATACAACTCCTACATATAAAAAACCAAACTAAAAAGTAACAGGTTAAATTAAATCTTGTCATAGACTTAAAGTAACAAAAATAGATTTTCGCAGGCAAAATGGAAGTACATAGAAATGAGTCTGTACAACGTGAAATAAAAGAAATATAACTCAGAAACACTAGATTGCACATATTTACTTCTGTACATTTTAAACCTGAATAATCACAGAAGACTGAACAAATCGAAAAGCGCTCATAAACCAGATTCTTGCGAATTTCGGTCACTGCCATTTCGCCTTAAACTGAGTGGTACAATATCAGCATCATCTGGCTGACCAGTTGTACAACTGATAGGACTGGGTGTCTTAAGACGTCCAAACTGTTTCAATGGCCACACACGGAGTAGTACCTTGTATTCCAAGTGAGATATAGGAACAGGTCCATAAGACCGAGAATCCAACGAACGTGAAGTATTATCACCTTCTAACCAGACATGACCCACAGGTACCTGAGAAATGAGCAAATGACAACAAGAAATACATATAATTTTACGCATAAATGCAAACACGCAACTGCGAACCTACAAACACGTCCGTACACAACACTTCAAAATGCAACTATTGTTTCAATTCCTGATAGATGATTTTACAACCAGGACGGGAACTGGCATATGAGCACGAGGAGCTGATCACTAACTGTGGCCGGGATCAATTTTGAACCATCCGCGAAATAGGTTTGTTAATCAACAGCACTCCAGCAAATAAATCGCATCCCACTATGAACGCTAGCAGAAAAGATTTTATGCTTTTGATTCAACATAACTTGACACTGTTTTAGTTGTCTTTTTTCAAAAATTTGATTTAGACACATCTCAATTCCCAATTCGTGATAGGTGATCTGAAGAGGTCGAAAACACCGAAAATCTAAAATGATGACTTCTTCGAACAGTCAACAGAATAACAAGCCGCTAAACGGTAAAAGATGAACGACAGATTGATAAATCTTGATGAGTAATATTTATTCTATGACTTTATTGACAGAAAAATAAAACCAATAATGCATGAATTCAAACATCTAGTCTAACCAAATGATTTGGGAAAGGGACAGTACCTGTTTTGCAATAAACTCCCACCGACTATTGTCCCAGAATGTAATTTGATCATTCTCCAGTCCTTTGATTCGCTTCAAAACATGTGAAGTGTTATACTTCCGCGGCTGTCCAGCAATTACAACATCACCCCTAGGAAGATAAAAACTTTCCTATCATATACCTCTTAATGCGTCCTGAAATAATTGATAGTCTTTCTACAATCAAATAATCCCCATCGTTAACAGTCGGCTGCATACTAATTCCTTCACACTACAAATGATATGTGTGTTTCACAAACATACATAAACTATCGTGCCGACCAGAGAGTGATATTTATACGTTATCACACCAGTAGTTAAAACCAGAATACCTCGGGCTAAAGACCTCGGTACCTTTTTGAACATCAGAACAAAAGACAAAAAAGTGACCTTCGAATCCCGAACTCAGCAAGGACGTCTGCACCTCATTCAATGTCTAATTTCAGATTTAGATGTTTGGTTGAGGATGGAAGGCTGGAGGCATATGCTAATCCTTTTCTAGTAAATTTCCGTGGTTGTCTGAACCCTTCTTGAATGAATCAGTTGAGGTTGCAGACACCACTTCTTCTGGAAGTCGGTTCCAAGAGTTTATAGCTCGGTGTCACAACCAGTACTCAGCAGCAATATGATTTTCCCATGGCTTTTGAACTCTCCTGCTATGTTCCCTAAGGTGTTCCGACCTGGTTGGAGGGAAAAGAGAGAATAGGTCAAGTCCGTAGTCATTATTTGAGATTTTAAACATTGTGATTAAATCTCTTCTCTGCCTACGGTATGACAGGGAGACGAGATTTAAACTGTCTAGTCTTCCCTCGTATGACAGATTAGCCATGCCGAGAACCGTACCTGTTTCATTCCTTTGAACCCTTTCTAGAATGTGTGAGTCCCCTTTAATACAGGGAGTGGCTGTCTGGATACCAGTTTTCTAGTCTTGACTTGTGGAGTACGTAACAATTTGATTGTACACTTTTTGTTAGATGTTGAAATTAGAGACATTGTACATGAATCTTGTTTAAAACAATTCATCTTTAAATATCCCAGCTAGCATTTTCTTCGGGCGCATTGCAGAATTTTTGGGGCAAAAAACTTCGGGTAAATCTACTTACGTGGGACACTGTCCCGAAGTCTGCCCCAAAAATTCTGCAATGCGCCCTAAGTCTGCCCCAAAAAGTCTGCAATGCGCCCTAAGTCTGCCCCAAAAATTCTGCAATGCGCCCTAAGTCTGCCCCGAAAAGTCTGCAATGCGCCCTTACTTAATATGACTAACTGCGACCTGGGATAACGTGTCTACGGTTCCTCATTTAACTATTAGTTGACAATTAAATCAGAGTTGAATCTAATACGCACACAGGTCGTCTCAGAAAACAATAAACTGGCAGTAGCTCAACGACTCACATTAACAAAAAGCAGTTGATTTTAATTTAAAATATATTTAATAATCTTGGCCAAAAAATTTACAATCTTCAGATAACTTTCTAAAGTAGAACATCCTATAAATCACCAGGAAAATTCACACGTGTGCTTTCGGCGTCGGGTAGGTTTTCTTTGTTGACGTCGACGGTGATCTGAAAAATGAAGTTAGGAAAAAATTAGGACCTACCAATGGGGAACGCCGTCGCTTTCTAATTCTCGACTTCAGTCTGTCCCGACTGTTATGGAACCAACGTTGAATTGAAGCCGTGATAGCCTTCACTGTGGTACGTCGGTCAGCATTACCTAGTTTATGTAAACTGCTAATAGTTCCTAGAGAGACAACAATGAAAAAATGTCACCTACGTATCACTAGGTTACACGTCTTCGTGTCTTTAAATTTCTTTTTTTCCTTAGTGCCAGCCCATGAAAAATGTGAGCTGTAGTTCGGCTCCAACAACACATTCATTATGCGACCAACGGAGGTTTGCACGTCCCCGTCAACCAAACTGGAAAGGTCCGCCGACACATCTTGACGATATTCGTCCTGGGACAGTTTGGCCTCAAACGATGACATGACAGCGTCGCTGTCTAACTGCCATCTGCCAGAACTTTTTAAAGTTTGAGCGAAATTGACACACGAGATATTAGTGTCAGTACTGTCGACGATGTTTACTTGCGAGAGTTTAGCCTCAAGGTCAGAAAGACGTAACTCCGTTCGTGCCTGGAAGGAACGTAAAGCCCTTATCTCTTTCCAACAACCAGATGTACAATGACCTTTCTCGTCACCGCTTATATATATATATATATAACTTCCGAGTACAATTCGAAATAAAGTGTACTGCTGGTAGCTCCGCCTTCTCACTGGTCATTACTGTCTAATTGCTCCACTCACACCGTGTTGTATACTATGGATTTGTTGCAGGAACGTATCATACTTATCCGAAGACAACTCTACAACCGGCACACAGCTTCTACAAGTAGACACAATTCCAAAAGTGAGTGCTTCTGTGGATTATATTAATAATTTGTAGCAATTGGCCTTAACAGTATATTTGTCCATGTAGTCGAAGATTGAACGATCAATTCATGGTCGTTTGCTCAAAACCCAGCTCCATATTTTTGGCGGGAGTCATCGTTTCATCGTTCGCTATTCGTTGGAAGACAGAGAAAAAGTAATAGGAGTTTTATTGTGGTATATTATTATGACATTTTTTCATAAACTTCTTGTAAAATAACTTAATGGTTGGCTCTGTATTGGTGCAAAAATACAGGGTTCTTGAGTCACCAATTCGCGTTCTGGCTTTTCGTTGGTTACGGAGCATTGTTTCGTGAAAGTCTTCCAAGGACATTGTGAAGTCCAGTGTAGTTAGACCTGAACATTTACAATATCCAAGTAACCTTTTATTTATTATAACTCATTACCGTATTTTTGATGATATATTTTTGCACTATTATCTGACTGACTTGGATTTTTATTCGCATATTTATTAGGTTATTGAGCTGGCTACACAGTACCCTACAAATTAATTGGTGAGCCCGATTGAACATCTTATCTTGATAAATTCTACATTTATATTGTTATCATTTTTATTTTTGACTGCGCATTCTAAATATTTATACATCCATGTACCTGTATATTCCCATAATACGTATACCTTCACCCACACGTCCAATTGCTGCACCTGAAACTGACGAGGCACAGGACTCAACAATCGACATAATAGTCAACCAGCGTCTACCTCCATTTGGTTTCACTTGGCCGCGGATTTGGTACGATGTCGCTACTCGAGGTATCAAGTCACAGATCGCAAGTTATGGATGTGTCTTGGCTGCACTGCCCACAGGGGCTCTCTAGGACATTAGTGATTTAATCGACAGCGCTCCTGCAGACCACCAGCATGATAGACTCAAAGCAGTTTTGATCCAAAGAAGGAGTGTTTCTGATGGGAAGCGGATCCAACAGTTACTCGCTGCATGCGATTTAGGCTGACGGACTCCATCTCAGCTTCTTAGGCATATGCATCTACTGCTTAATCTACACAATGTTGACGAAGTGGTTTTACGACAGATGTTATTGGATCGGCCACCAAGACATACCCAACAGGTTTTGATTATCTCCTCCAAATCAGTCGGCCTAGATGCCTTAAGTGAGCTGACAGACAAAATTCGAGATGCCTGACACCAGTTCACACAACGTATCAACTCTGTATCGCGGTACATCCAAAGTTTGCGTCACATTTTTGCGTGATTCGTTACATAAAATTTATCTAGTTGTAATACTTGCACAAGTACTATACTACTTCCATACCTGTAACCATTAACTCCCATTTCTAATAGTTATGGTTAATCAAAGTAAAAAGCAACGAACCCAATCCCCTGTAAAATTGATGACTAATTTAACGTCCCTGATTGCTACATCAAGCAAACGGTTATAGTGAGTCACATAACTCACTTGTGTGCCGTAAGCGTCGAGCTGGAACTGAGGATAAAACTGTACTGACAGCTAGTATAAGCACTACTCCTAAAAATTCAGTACCCTCTGCTCATACAGAACCCTCTCTTCACCTTATGTGCTCATCGAAAAACTCCAGCCATCAAGCTCTTTTTCAGTACTATCTTCAGAAATAGAACTTCTAAAGTTGTCTATAGGAGAACTTAAGGCTGAGTTAAGGGAAATAAAAAACAGTAAGTCAGTAAATGCTGGAAACATCGAAACCGATACCGAGATATCCAAATTATCAGATCAGATCAGCGATATCAGATCGCAGGTCTGTGAACTGACACCTCTAACTATCCTCATGAAAACTGTAAACCTTAACAAGCTTGACACAGAATCGGTAACTAAGGTAGATAACCTCATTAATTTTGTTACCACAGAAGAAACAAAACGACTCGACGCAAAACTGAGTGCTATTGTCTACAACGTTCCGGACAATGAGGCACTAAAAAAGGTACAGCGCATCTTACTTAGTGAGGCGAAAATGCCTAACTCCAAGACTAAGTGCTATAGGCTGAAGAAGAGTCAACATGAAAAGTGTTGTCCTATTCGTTTTCAGTTCGAAACACCGGCAGAGACCAGAAAATTCATCCACTCCCAACACACCCTATCGCAAGCCAGAAACTACAAACTTATAAAGGTCGGGGTGGACAAAACAGTCATAGAAAGGCGCGCATATAATTATCTCGCTAAGACTAATTGTGAAATAGGTAATAGGACATTGCAAGCAGCCATTATTCCCAACCCTGTGAAAGATACAGTAGACCCCACCGCATCACCCCTCTCAAAACACACAGAATTATCCCATCAGAGTGCAACACCAGCCGAAAGGCCACTAGACTGTAACCAAATAAATAATAAAACCATACCACCTATCACCGCAGAATCTAAAATGCCACTAAATAACCCCAGAAAAAAGTCAAAACCCCCGAAATTCGACGTTGTCCTCTCCTAGCCATAACTCCATTGGTAAAGATAAGGAAAATATGCCCCTAAATCATACCAACAAAAACAGTGGCAGCTTAAATAAGCCCACACTCCCACGGTTAATAGTATTGGCACTCACAACGTGCTAAATCGCACCATGGCACACACTGATATCCAATGTCACAACAATGTCACCCTCAATAGTACAAGTGGTAATAGTCAGAACTCGGCTGCCAACAACTCAGGGTCTTCAGAGTATGGCACACAAACAAATTTTGACCGGATATATGGTACAAGTCTGCTGGGAACTAACCCACAATGCAGTACACACGAAACCCACACAAGGACACAACTAGCATCAAACAATAGGTGGAATAATAAGCCATGGTCATCACAAGGATCCAATCATTTTTTATCCCCCGCGTCCCTGTCAGCGTTGAAAAAACAGCTGGTAGGGATGTTAACACTCCTAAACCACTAGTGCTGGCTCCCTCCTTGCATGAAAACAGGAACGGTCTAGTGCACCCGTATCCATTAGGCACACTTGACACTTGCACAAGTATAGGTCAAATAAAGAACCCTACCCACTTCTGTAACCTAA